AGCGCCAGATCCGGTCACAGAAGGGTCAACATCTCAATTGTCCTGAATCAAATCATGAAACTCCCATCTTGTTGTTCAAATAATCTGGAAACACAATGCCATAAACCATCCCAAAGGCAGCATTTTTATGGCTGTGTTTTTTCACCAACCCCTAATTTGTAGTTGTTTATGGCATTGGGTTTACCACGTGATGTGTTAATTATCAATTAACCATCATCAACCTGAATTCTTATTGTCACTAGCCGTTATTAACCATTGTTACCGACCATCATTGACAATTATCATATTAGATTACTAGATATTACTAGTAATTAGTAACCATCTAGTAATAACATCATCTAGTAATTACTAATATTAATTCGCATTACCATCTGGTTATTTAACATAGCCATGGAAAATCCCTTATAAATGGAGGTTTCTAGCTGGGACAATCATCTATAAATGGGCCATCTATACCATGGCTATGTTAAATAACCAGAGGGTAATTATTATTCACCATTACATCCCATCTGGGTAAATTATAAATAATTCACTAACCTGAATTAAGGCCATTTGGGGATGATTCCCCTTATTAACCATGAATTCCAGTGAGGTCGCAGTGAGGTCGTTATAATTTACCCAGAAATATGGGATTTAGATGGATTTAGTAGTACCCATAGGATCCATGTATGGTATATATACTAACATTTGGGGTATATTGATGGTAAATGTTACCATATATATAGCATACATGGATCCCATGGGTTATTATTCACCATTACATCCCATTACTGAATTCACTAACCTGAATTAATGCCATTTGGGGATGATTTCCCTTATTAACCATGATTCCAGTGAGGTCGCAGTGAGGTCGTTATAATTTACCCACATCAATGGATTGGTTTTCTTGGAAAATCTTAACCGAAAACCATGGTTTTTAGCATTAAATATGGCGGTTTTCCTGTAAATGTTCCCTTAAATATGGGTTATTATTCACCATTACATCCCATTACTGAACCCCTACAGCATCCACTGCTCGTCTTAGCGGCACAAAGGTCTTCGGATCGATCTGTGGGAGCGCGACTGTGTCACCGTTCACTGCGACCGTCTCAGCCTCAACCGTGATGTCCTTGGGCTTCAGTCAGGGCAATCTAGGGGTGTCATGTGGCTATGAGTCAATACCTATTAATACCATTTTTAGAGGGATGAACATCCATAAATCCCAGCTATTTTGATGTGAACAGAAGGGGTACGAGGTTTTGACCCACTGCCATGTTTCGGTTGATAAGGATAGGGCTGATGAAACCCGAAAAAGAACCACAAGAAATATTTTGGCCAAGTGACATGTAACTGCTTACAGGTCTAGTTTTTTAGCCCTTAACAGTTGTCACTGGCTTATTTCATGATATATAACCAACTAGATCAACTAGCTACAGGAGATATTGAAGCAATATTTATACCCATATTTATAACATGTTATAAGTGTTACTTGGGCCAATAGCGTTGCTTCCAAAAAAAAAACTCAGCTTGGAAGCGTCAACTTACCGATCCCTGGGTGGCCGGAGTTTCCGGAAACCAAATCCCCGAGAGAAAGGGGAAACTCGAAGAGTCGGAACCCAGCTTGGGACGGTAAAAGGTGGAGCCGCAAATAGGTAACTGCAGGTAACTTGGTTTATAATAGTTTATAACATGTTATAACTATAAGTAACATTAAGTAACTACGTAGGTTTACGAAGATCAATTGGGTGGACATCTCCACAATTCAATTTGTTTTCAAAGCAATTTATAACCTGGGGGGTGGTACGTATGGTACGTAGGTCGTATCTAGTGATATAATGTGATATGTGTCATACACGTTTTTCAGAATCTCTACCCCCAACAACTGGGCACCCTTGTTCTTTGATGCTTCGCCTCACGCTGTTCCACTGGCAGACAGATCAATCCATTCCTTGGTCGCCCTCCTAAGCTGTGCGTGGAGCACATCGTTCTGCATGACATTTGGGTACCCGAATTTCCAACAAAGCCATTTGTTGAGTAGATTACAGACGCAACTAAAAGGTGGTGATCGCCCTAAATTGGGCGTTTTGTTTAATAATCTATAATCTGGGCCAATGACAATAATTCACTACTGTTACACAGGAGAGTTTCCCCTACGAACCATCATTCCACATATTCCGTCCTTATAATCGATCAAGATCGATCATTCTTTGCCCATTAGTTGGCTGAACTCATCATTTTTGATACTTAAGTCACCATGTTTGGAAAGTTAAATCATCACTATTGATACTTAAGTCATCATTGATACTTCAGCCAGGTGCATCGTGACATGACTTACCGGTCAACGCGTCATCTGCGCACATTGAAAGCGAGTCTGCGCACATTGCAAACGAGTCATCCGCGCACAGAGAAACCGCATCATCCGGGCACAAAGAGCGGTCATCCGCCCACATTGATGCTGGGAACCACGAAATTGCGCTTCCACGAAATGCAAAAAACGATCCTCAGAGCAAGATAATCCTCTCTCTTTCATGTTCCAGTGGGGTGGGGGGGTGGGGTGGGGTGGGGTGGGATGATAACGTTCATGTTCCTATGCACACACAGGCACAGCAACCTCATCATCTTTCTTGCTGTTGAGAAGAGACAGGCACAGCTCTTTCATGATCAGTTACCGGTGGGGTGGGGTGAGTTAATAAGGTTCATGTTCCTATGCCTGCACACGCACAGCAACCTCATCATCTTTCTTGCTGTAGAGCACTTACACGCACTGCTCTTTCATGATCAGTTACCCTTGGGGTGGGGTGGGGTGGGGTGGGGTGGGATGATAACGTTCATGTTCCTATGCACACACAGGCACAGCAACCTCATCATCTTTCTTCCCGTAGAGCAGAGACAGGCACAGCTCTTTCATGATCAGTTACCGGTGGGGTGGGGTGAGTTAATTAGGTTCATGTTCCTATGCCTGCACACGCACAGCAACCTCATCATCTTTCTTGCTGTAGAACAAGGGTGGGTTCCATGGACTTAAATCATCACTTGACTCAGCCATTTGGGGTTTGGTTGGCGGGGGTGGGGGGGTGATAAAAGCGTCATTGATGCTGGGAACAAGGGTGGGATCCATGTGACTTGTGAGATGAGAGGATTTGTGTGAGATGAGTTGTGTGAGTTGTGAGATGAGCGGAAATACGTGAGATGAGTTGTGTGAGTTGTGACATGAGCGGAGTTGTGTGAGACGAGTTGTGTGAGTTGTGAGATGAGTGGAGTTGTGTGAGATGAGTTGTGTGAGTTGTGAGATGAGTGGAGTAGTGTGAGATGAGTTGTGTGAGTTGTGAGATGAGTTGTGTGAAAGAACTTGGGTGAAGTTCAGTGAGAGAACACGAAGCAGCTCCACCAAATGCCACACGAAAGCAGCTCTTGAGAGAGTTGAGTTGTGTGAGATGAGTTGAGTGAGATGAGTTGTGTGAGATGAGTTGTGTGACTTGTGAGATGAGAGGAGTTGTGTGAGATGAAATGTGTGCATTGTGTGAGACAACTTGAGTGCAGTTGAGAGAGAAAGAAGCAACTCAGGAGGAGAAGGAGGAGAAGGCAAGGAATACAAACATAAAAACAAAAGCCCCACACAGAGATGTGAGGAAAAAACCATAACTTGATGAGTTGTGTGATGATGTTAAAAAAAGCTAGAAGAAGAATCATGTTACAGAGCTACAATGACAAAATCACACAACAAAAACGTGCACAGACGACCAACCGTCTGACGTGCACAGACGACCCACTTTTGACGTGCACAGACGACCCCCCAACCTGACTTACCCTAGTGGTTATAACCGGTCGCAATCGTCGCCACGGCGACCTTTCGGCCCAAGACACGCCCTGAACACCGTGGAGGGCATTGGAGTCAGCTTCGAGTACTCCACCCGGCGGATTTCCCATCTACGGCCACGGCCAGGGAAAGGTCAGGGTCATCTGCGTCAGTCAATGTGGCACCATAAAAAAAAAAACGGAGTTTTTGAAACACTGAAAAATGGTGGATACCCTCTAGTAAACTAACATAACTATGGAAAATCACCATGTTGAATGGGAAAACTCAATATAAATGGCCATTTTCAATAGCTACGTTAAATTACCAGAGGGTACCCCAAAACGACCATAACGAAAATGATCAATAGACCTATTTTTTAGATTTTTAAAGACAGACCTGGACCCGTTCTCGACTTGAAGTTGTGTTTCAACAGTACCAAATTTACTTGACTCAATAGTGACTCAATAGCTGTCTGATTTTGGCTCTATAGCCATCTGATTTTGGTCGTTTCATATATCCACCATCTAAGTCTAATTGTTAGTCACCCAGAAGCCCCTTTTTGAGTTCACTCTGGAGAAATCAATTACGGGTTCATCACGACAGGTGTGTCTGAAAAAGGGGCACTGTATACCTCCAAATGGCAAATTAATACAGAAAAATTACGAATGATCGATTTACCATCTGGTCATTTAACATAGCCATGGAAAATCACCATTTTTAATAGGTAACACATCTATAAATGGGCCATTTTCCATGGGCATGTTAAATAACCAGAGGGTAGATGGATTTAGTAGTACCCTGTTCCCTGGCAAATCCATGTGAATGGGTCGACCTTTGGGTTTTCGAGTGGCGAAAACCCTCACTTTTTGGGGCTGGACCCCCAAATTAGTCAGATATTGTGACAATTTGCTGTATCATAGTTGTTGAACAAAAATATTAGATGCAGCTCATGACAATATCAAACTAATATATTTCATGACATTTCCCGTATGATCCTCAATAGATGTACCCACAGGAAGGGACCCCAAATTACAAGTTGGTTTGAAACCCACATATAATATATATTAACTAATATTAACTAATCCTAACTATATGGATAATTATGGATATATTTAACTAACCATATGTATATGTCTACCGCAAACCATACGGATCGCTTAGATCCAAACAAGCGCCCACCTTTGAATCAAAATTCCGCTCATCAATGCATGATTTTTCGATGGCTATGCAAATGACATCATACCCATAGGATCCATGTATGCTATATATGGTAACATTTACCATCAATATACCCCCAATGTTAGTATATAATAGCATATATACCAGCACCATGGATCCTATGGGTTATAAATCGCCCGAGTTTGGGGGGAAATCATCTTGCTTGTATGGTGTTTTTTTGGGCCTTCCTGTTAGAAACGCTCCACATCGCTCCACCCTGGCACCCTGGCCTGTCACGCAGAGATTGCGGAGACTTAAAGGTCCATTAACCAGGAGTGATAGCAGCAATGAATGCTTGTTGGATTGAACTTTTCTGCTTGTTGGTTTCAGAAAGTTTCTGGTAGAACCAGCTAGCACTTTTGAATACTTCCATTTTTCTGCCTGGATGCTTCATTTTAGAGACTGAGAACCAAAAATATGTTGAACAATTCTGGGACATGGTTCTCAAATGACGCTCACATCGGATCATGGACAGGGTTTCCAATATGCACTCGCGAAAAAAACATGGCTGGAACATGTTCATGGTCATGTTGGGTTTCAAATGAGTGTTTGTTTAGAGTTAATGTTAGTTAGTGTTCAGAGTAATGGTGTGACTTTGTGAACACATCATGCCTGTAAAATCCATCCTGCCAGTAGCCAAGCATATGGGCGAGGTTCAGAAATGCAGCCCCCACAAGTTCAATAATCTTCCTTGTGAATCCAGAAGGTTGCCACCACAAAGACAGGGTGGCTGTAACCCCGCTTCAGTATAGTCGGTACCAGGAAGGGACACCCAAATCCCATGTTGCTGCTTATATATCTGGGTAAATTACAATATTTCACTAACCTGAATAGTTCGGCCATTTGGGGATGATTTCTCTAAAATAAAGCATGATTCCAGGGTTCGGGAGAACAGTGGGGTCTTGATGAAATTTACCCAGATATATCCTATGAGATCGCCATTTTCCCAGTGAAACCACCATGATTTTGGATGACAAAACTCTCGGACTATTGACATGCTAACTACCAGGAGAATCACCCCACCTGGTAACTGGTGAATCATATCTCTAGCCCAGCTATATATATATATATTAAACCCCACTAAATGGGGACTTACTAATTAACCACGCATATATATATATGTGTGTGTGAATTATGTGTGTATATGTGGGATGATCCTCCAAGTTATTTTGGTTGGTTCGGGATATACCTTACGCTTATCTAACATAGCTTTCTAATTTCTTGCCGATCAAACGTTCGATGATTTATGCTGAGCTGATAAAAACCCCTATTTGAAATGGTGATCTTCCACAGCCACGTAGAAAATAACGTCGTGTTTCTTTTCTTTGCTGGGGATATAAAGGGATCTTTAACCAACTATATACTATACGAAGATTAGCTATACATATATATATATGAATCCATATCAATCATGTAGATATAGTGTATATATATATATTTCCCTCTGGTAGATTAACAGTTGGACCCTGAAAATGACCCATTTATAGTGATTTCACTAGTCTTCCAACCCCGATGAATGGCAGGGTCTATGTTAATTTACTGGAGGGCAAAGGGATCTTCAACCAACTATATACTATATGTTTAGATACGCATGTGATTTATATCATTTACCATCTGGCAAAGTAACATGGCTATTGAACATGGTCCATTTGTAGTTGATCTAACTATTGATATTGGTGACTTTCCATAGCTAGGTTAGTTTACCGGAGTGTAATATTCCAAATCAGTTTTGGTAGTTCTTACCCTCTGGTGTCATCACACATAGAGGAATCGATTGCTTTTTCAAATCTCCCATGTGTAGTTTGATAAAACAAATCCCAGCGAACTAAACCTCCATGGCTAGGCCACGGGGATTTCCCACAAAAAGCTATGTTTCATCGCCAAAGGGTATCTAGATTGCTATCAATATCCAAGTGTATATGTATCTATTTATCATGTATATATATATATACATATATATATATACATGCTTAGCAAAATTTGGTAATGATTGTACATATGTATGTGATTTGGCTATTGATTGCTCAATTGTTAAATAGATAAAATGTGGCTTGATCATCTGGTCAATGTTATAAGTCAGTGACTGAAATCCGGGGGTCAATAGCAGAAGTTTGGTACTAGAACAGGTATAGCATAAGTGCTTATCAAATTCCTAAACCATTGCATTTGGGGTATCAATAACTGTGATACGTCCATTCTCAAAAAGGAACTACATGGAACTACCATGCACTACCCAGACACTGACCACATCGAACTCAGCATCTGCCATAGCCCGATAATATTGAATGAATAGATCCTATATCAAACTAGGCTTTTCAGGCTAGTATTCAATATTGGGGGGCAAGGGAGTATGTATATATATATATAATGTGTATATATATAATGTGTATATATATAATGTATATATATAATGTATATATATATAATGTATATATATATAATGTATATATATATAATGTATATATATAATGTATATATATATAATGTATATATATATAATGTATATATATAATGTATATATATAATGTATATATATAATGTATATATATATAATGTATATATATAATGTATATATATATATATCTTTATATATAAATAATGTATGTATATATAATGTATATATATAATGTAAATATAATGTATATCTATATAATATATATAATGTATATATATATATATTTAATGTGTATATATAAATATAATGTACATATATAATGTATATATATAATGTATATAAAATGTATATATATAATGTATATATAAATATCATGTGTATATATAATGTATATATATATTGTATATATAATGTATATATATATAATGTCTATATATGTAATGTATATATAATGTATGTATATACAATGTATATATAATGTATATATACAATGTGTATATATATTTAATGTATATATACAATGTATATATATAATGTATATACATTTAATGTATATATATAATGTATATATATAATGTATATATATAATGTATATATATAATGTATATATATTGTATATATTTATATATAATGTATACATATATATAATGTATACATATATAATGTGTATATATTTAATGTATATATACAATGTAAATATATAATAGTGTATGTATATTTAATGTATATCTATATAATGTGTATATATATAATGTATACATATATAATGTATATATATATAATGTATATATATATATAATGTATATACATACATATATATATATGATGTATGTGTATATAATGTGTATATATATAATGAATATATGTATAATGTATGTATATATATAATGTATATATTTATATATCAACAAACAACCCAGAAGATTTTCTAAGATTCCACTGCCCCTTTTTTTAAATGGGCCCCCCAGTCGAGCGAGCGATAGCGTTCAGTTGCCTCAAATTTGTGTGGCTGAATTCTATGGTTTATGGTAGATATAAATGATATAACTATATGCATTACATCTACAAAGTGGTGCGCCCAAACGACGAAATCGCTAAGTTGGTGAACATAACTTCAATAACAATGGTGTATGATACCTAGTCACTATAGTATTCATAGGGGTTTATAAACCAACATTCACATCACTGGGGGGCACCAGCCTGTAGATTTCTCCATTGGCTGACCAGAATTACCCTGAAAGTTGGCCCACAAAATCGTAGCTGGTGAATAACCCTGCTGACAAGCCACTTATACAATGGAGTAACCCCATGAAATGGGAACTTATTAAGATTTGCTTGTTATCATTTGTATCATGTATGATTAATAAGTTCTGATACTAACCCACTTGTTAATAATAACTTATACTATATCCACTTATTACATCTTATTACCCTCTGGTTACTTCACATAGCCATGGAAAATGGCCCAGTTATAGATGGTTTACCGAACTTAAAAAAGGGTGGATCTTTCCATGGCAAACTGTTAAATAACCAGATGGTAACATTTATTATCATTAACCATTTACAGTTTTTGGATACTTCGAATATCATCGGGTCATCACCCCCGGCATCCAACCTACCATCCAACGAATCTGAAGAAAAAATAAACCAACTTAGCCAAAAGGCGGGTAAGCAACCAAAATTCCAAGTCTTGTTGGTTGATGTTGCTTATACCGTTATAGCCACGATTTCTTTCTTTCATAGCCAAACCGTTAATAGTGGTTATATATGGTTATATATATATGAGTTATATATGGTTATATATATGGTTATACCGTTATAGCCACGATTTCTTTGTTTCATACCTAGCCCCGATTTGTTTAGATCAACGGCCAGTTATCATCCCGCGCTCACAACTTTTTCAGAAATCTTTTCATCGGCCAGATGTCCTGATCTTTCCACGATTCACCAGGTTTCATTTCGATGCCACTCAAAAAAAAGCCTCGCGTGCATTCCCCAGACTTTGCTGTCTATGCTGTCTAAAGTTTTGCAGGGCTAAAACATCAATCTAATGCTTCAAATGGGGATGAAACAATCGAGCTAAAAATCTCGCAGCAAACAAGGATGAAACAGCATAAACAAATCTAAACATGGGGATGAAACAGCGAAAGAAATGGGAACTGCAGCTCGAACACTGGGGATATTGAACCCTCAAGGAATGGAACTTCACTAGCAAGAAATGCTGATTGCCAACATGAGCCAACAAATTTGCGACGTTACTTCTAGGTAACAGTGCGTAAGCACTGTAATCAATAAACATTTAGTATCATCGGGTCGCAAGTTTCATCGACTCCAGTTATATAAACTCTTGGCGTAAAGCCAATGAAAGGCCTTTAGTCTCCGTGTTAGGCTACTACAAGGTGGTGCCCCATAGTTAGCTAAGTTGGTTTATAACTCCCATAACTATGGTTTGTGGCAGATATAACTATACTTAATGGGGTTTATAAACCAACTTATAACTGGGGGGCACCATCCTGTACACAAATCACGCGATTTTTTTTCGACATCGAGGATTTTCCAGTTATCACCTTTAACGGCCAAAAGGCCGTGCTTCGTATCACATCATCACATCT